ATTTTTTTAAATAGTTTTAATATAATAATATAATATAATATAATATAATATAATATAATATAATATTTATAATATATCAATTATATATAGATTATTTTATCTAAACTTTATATCCATAATTATATTCTTCGATTGTGACGACAAGAAAAGTGTATCATTTTTAAATCGTTTTTCTTTAAAATATAAAATATATATTTTATTTTTTCTGAGTAATTATAAGTTTCTTAATTATATTATTTTTTTTGGAAAATTTATCGATATAACTATAATTATAATATATAGTCGATTATTTAATTACATTAGAAATTTAATAAAATTTTTCAAAGTTATTATAATATAATTCATAAATATATATAAATGTCAATTACATGTATAACATATAAAAAATATTGTTAGATTATTTTAGAAAATTAAAAAATATATATTTTTTATTTCCGTATATGAATTCTTCAAAATTGTTTAGAATTCATAAGAAAATTTATGTTACTAAAAGATTCGTGAATATATAACTACATATATATGATACATATATTCATTCTTATAGATCTTATAGATTTTACGATTTTTAAATTATTTAAATAATTGCAGTATCATTTCATTTTTTTTTATATGAGAAAATATGCAATTGTTTAAGTATTAGTAATATACATATTTTTAAGAAACTTTTTAAATAAAAATATCTTTACGTTATTTTTGAAAACAGCCAACTTAGTAAGTGCTGCCATCTGTTAGAAAATGGTCGAAATTAGATATTTCAGTTAAATGCAACAATTTATATAATAAAATTGCTAAAAATATTTTACTTTTAAGAAAATTTAAACCAAATTTAATAAATTATCTAATAGGTTACAAAAAAAGTCGAGATAAATAAAAAAAATGTATATTATCAACAGATATATTCGTACACTGATATTTCTACAAATGATAACTACATGAAAATTTGTAGCACAAACGAGATATTGAATATATTTAATATTTAATGTGATTCAATTTTTTTGTTCTATATCTATTTATATCCGTGAATAATAAAATTTCCTTTTTTCATTTAATTCAGGCTAAATCTTATATATAAAAAATTAAATTAATGAATATAAATTATACGTTTAAAATTCCGCTAGTAAATTTTATCTATATAAATTATAATAAATTTATGTTTTAAAATATTGCTTCGAAGTATTGTGATTACATTTTATATTTTATTAATTAAGAAAAAATATATAAAAGCAGAGTTACAAAAATGTGTGTGTAATAATTTTATTTAAAGTGGTATCGAAATTTGATGTTCAAAATATACAATTATTAACATGTACATATCTTTTTTAACACAATATTGAAAAATTAAATTCATATGTAGTATAATGCTGAATAATATCACGAAGAGTAAATTTCAGAAAAAATCGGATAAAACAATAGGATAAAATAATAGGTAGTGTATAAAATATTTCCAATCTTTAAACATGAAATGTACACAAATTTACATATATTTAATATCAGTTCTGTACTCTCAAATATTTTTCCTTTTATTATTTTATATACTTATATGCGAAATAATAATACCAAGTCTTATTTTTTTTTAATATACTTTGTTGTAAAGATCATTATATACATGTTTTATACAGTTCTGATATATTTCAAATAATTATTATATATCAATTTATTTAATTATGAAAATAATTAAATAATCAAGTAATACTTTTTAAATCAAACATGAAAAAAATATGAATTTTTAAATAAAAGATTTGCTTAGATTTGAAAATATAATACTCATATGTTGAAAATAATTAGAAAATATATATAATTATGTGCATATTTATATGCAAATATTATACTATTAAATATGAATGGATATACGCAAAAATGTTTTAAATGTTTAAAAAAAATTATATTTTAATAATTGAATAAAGAATAAAATTCACAGTAATTTTTATTATTTTCAATAGAATTGTAAGTATATAATTTAAAGGATTTATTTGTTGCTTTTATCACTTTTACTTGTTACTAAATATATTTTAGAGAAAACATTTAAAATGACTAAAATCATATTTGTCTAAAACATTCACAGTCTTTCACAAAATTATAATTACATGAATATATGGATTAACAAATTATTTTTGTACTAGATGAAATTATAAACATATTATGTAATTAAATAATTAAATTTGCAAATTTCATTGACTTTAGTTTTATATTATTTAAACAATATTGATTTTCTATCAATTTTACGATTATTATATATTAAAACTATTAAAGATATAAAAAAAGAATATAGTAGAAAATTTTCATTATAAGAAATTCATTTTACACTTCTATTTAGATTCTTGTAATTATTTTAAAAATTACTTAATTCGATAAAAAAAAATCAAATCGATTTCAATCACGCCAATTAAATGAAATTATGATTCTATTTTGATATTTCAAACTACATATTTTATATCATATTTCATGCTATACGTATTTACTATATTATCAATAAATAATATAATACAAATAACTTTCGTTATTATTTTATACATAACAATATTTTGTATTCGTACTTTTACTGTTAATTATTAACAATTTTGAAATATTCCAATTATTTGCTTTGTAGTTATATAAAGCACTTCTTTTTTTTAGATACTATCATGATTATATTATATCTATAAATTAATATAATTATATATTTATTTTACAAAACTATGATAAGAGGAACGCAAACAACAAATGTATTCAAATAGACAATTACATTTCATTGACATAGAGGTGAAGTCATTCAAAATTTATCTATATATGCAATCATATATATGCAATCATATATATGCATTATAATGAAAAAATAGAATATAGAATAACGATCAAACTTAAAATAATCTATATAATACATTTTCAAATATATCTTATTTAATTAAAACATATTTATCTAAGATTTTCATAAAGCTTTCTAATATTGATTCAAATTGAATTGAAAGCAAATGATATAGATAAAAAATTAATAAAATTTAAATTTTTTTACTGTATCTATTTGTTGAATACATTCTATGTGAATTGTGAAATTAATAAATATTAAGAAAAATTTCTTTTTTAAAAGATAAATTTCATAAAAGAAATATCATTAAAGAAAGCATATGTTTTTTACTTTTTCCATTTTGAAAAATTATTTTTCATTAGAACTTTCATTAGAATAGTTAATATCTTTTGTTGATATTGTTTTACAAATCGTATACATTAATTGGACAAAAATATACGTGATTTTTGAAAATACAGTAATATAATATTCCCTTCAAAAATATAAAGCTTATAACTATAATTTTACATCATTGTTTATCATTTCAAAGTACATATATATAATGTACAATTTTGAGATGCTTTTTAATATTTTCTTTAATAATTTAATTTAGAAAAAAATGTGTATTCTATTTTCAAAATATATGTAAACTAAAAAATATATTTATACAATATATAATAATAAAAAAAGAAGCTCTATTAACCATATTGTATAAGATTAAAAAGAGCATCAACATTTTCTTTCTCAGACTCTTGTTGTACAACTTGTGTAACATCTTGAGTTAATAGAACTTGTTCTATTAAAACAGTCTCTGAATTAGTTAGTTGTTCTGAAGTTGCAATATTCTCTTCTTTAACTTCTTCTTGTTCATTATTTGACTTGATCACATTTTTCCTCCGTTTCGTTCTAGGTCTGTCTGTATGTATCCTCATATGCCGCCGTAAATCATATTTTCCAACAAAACGGGCATTACAAATTTCACATCCAAATGGTTTACCACCAGTATGAGTCCACATGTGACGTCTCAATGCAGCACTGAATGTAAACGCTATTCCACAAACATTACAAACATATGGTTTTTCACCTGTATGTAAAAGACTGTGATCTCTTAACGTTGCCTTTTGATTAAATCGTTTTCCACAGACTTCACACGTGTAACTTCGCGGATTCGAATGAATTCTGACATGATTCAACAAATTTCCTTGTTGTGAGAACGATCGTCCACATACTTCGCATTTGAATGGCTTCTCACCAGTATGAACGCGCATATGTGTTTCTAATGTGCGATTATTTAAAAATCTCTTTCCGCAAACTGTACAGGGATACTTAGGTAAATGAAGACCTTGCGGATCTAAATGAGTAATCAAATGTCGTTTGTAATTACCTTTATGATTAAATAATCGTGGACATTGACTACATGCATAAGGCGCACCACGTATGTGTGTTGTAACGTGAGATTCTAATTCCGATTTAACCTTAAATCTGAGGCCGCATTTCGGACATCGATGCCTTGGAAAATCTGTATGGCACACCATGTGCCTTTTTAAGTATCTTTTCATCGTATAAGCTTTATTGCATATGAAACAGGAATAGGGAAATTGACCTGTGTGCGTTTTTACATGCGTACGTAATTCTCTGTGACTCTCACAATCTTTCTCGCATACTACACAAAAGAATGGTCCACTACTTGGCACATGATTATCTATAGTATGCAACAAAACACCAGTCAACTTATCATAATTTTGCAAACATAAAGTACATTGATACTGTATTACATCATCTTCAAGTTTGATTTCTTTTATTCTCGT